AATAACATAATATTGCATAATTAGATAAGCCAAAATAATAATATTGGGAATGTAGATATAAACCATTGTTATTAAAATAAATATATTTTTTCATGGAAAGTTCACCTCATCATTGCTTGCTTTGAATTTTGTTAAAAATTCTGCTTTGTAATTGGGTTCATGTGGTTTATTTTCAGGAATCTCTAAAGGTTTTGTTCCAAAGACGTTGAATATGGAACCAGAAAATAATCTTGATGTTGATAAAGCATTAAAACAAGTACAAGAAAATGACCCTGAACTCACCAGTCTCAACATGAATAACATTAAGGTACATGCTTTGTATAACTTAATACATTGTGTCATTTCCTTGGCTCTCTGAGCAATGTAAGTACTACATTGGGATCCGCCAGCTAGGGAAGGCAGAATGCTGGAACAATATTCCAAAAGTCACAGTCAAGCACAGGCTAGTCTCCGATGACCCTTCACAGGCTAAACACTAATACATGTGTTAGTCTTTGGTTGCCACTGTATAGATTATTCCCTAATTCTGTCTTCAATAACGTTATTACTATGTACAATACTGTGATGATGTTAAGTTAGCATGCAAAAAAAACCTATATATATATATATTTTAAATAATATGTGTTTTATATGAATTTTGTTGACAGAACATACCTATACCTACACTAATATCATTGTCAGAAGCTCTACATAAGAACACACACCTAAAGACGCTGAGTATGGCAAGCACAGATCTAACTGATAGAATTGCAAAAGTAAGTTACTATACTACTGTATATTTTATAGTGATAAATCACTCGTTTTTAGTATGAAAGTATAAGGAGTGCAACGCAATTTTTACCTTGATTTTTTTGGTACAGTATGCACCTTTTTCTCTTAATTCAGTTTATTTCACATCATCAATATTTTTACAAAAATGGATAAAATTTGTTCTAGACAGGACAAACAAATAAACAGGATCAGTCTGTTTCTATGCTGTATTTTGTATTATTAAAATATATGTTGTGTATATAAAATTGTTGTATTTTTCAGGCACTTGGAGAAGCAATTGAAGCAAATACAGCATTGACATGTCTCAATTTGGAATCCAATTTTATCACTGGAACTGGAATTCAGGCCATTATGAAGGCATTGCTTAATAATGAAACACTTTCTGAACTCAGAATTGCCAACCAGGTAGGGATATGTCATTTTTTAGGCAGCTACAGTAGAAGTGATTTGACGCAGCAGGAACGGTTTGGTTTCCCAAATTCTAGGTTGGGGTCTCAATCTCTCACTGTTCATTTCGCTTGTGTCCGTGAGCAAC